TGAGAGAGCTTAGCTCTCTGCGGGGCTGAGTTCCGCCTATCCTTGCCTCGCGGAGGCCCAACAGAACTCAGTTCTTCTCCAGTAGGGCGCCCCGCGCCTACTAGGAGCCGTCGTTTCCCTGCGACGAACCTGGGGAGGAATTCGAAGCGGTGCTTCGGCTCGATGAAGCCTTGGCCTTGTTGCGCAACGGGCAGCTAAGCCAGACCACTTTAAAAACGGCACTTTTCAGAAATACCCGGCAATGTGCCGGATTATAGTTTTCAGAAGTGCCGGATTTAAGTAGTCTTCAGTTTATTTTTAAATATACTGAAGACTACTTCACTGAAGAATATATTAAAAGAGACTATATTAACAGACCAAAGGAACGATGAGCAAGCTAAAGCCTAGCGTCTCCAGCAAACCTCCTTCTCGCAAGACCCCGTTCCAGCCAGTCCACGCGATCCAATATGGTCTAGCAGTTGTGATGAGGGATACGCATGGCTTAGTCTGCTGTGTTCGCTGCCAAATGGCTTCATCTTTTTGCTTATCCAGAATTTCGATCAGATTATTAATTGTATTGTACGAATCATCAATCTCCCGCTTTCGTTCCAAAAGCGCTGCTATTTTCCAGCCAAAACAATTCGATCAACTCAATAAACGCTAGGGTAGTGCACTCACCCCTATTCTTATATAATGTCACCTTAACCTCCTGTTATGGTATCAAATACAACATATACTTTTATGTACTAACACATATAGAGTATTTAGTAAACTCAAGTCAAATTCTTTAAACCGGCACTGTGCCGGGAAAGAGATCCTGAAAGTGCCGGTACATAGCTTATTTGACACATTCCGGCATTTGCCTATATTAAAGTGGTCTGAGCCAAGCCGTAGGTGCCGGGTATTACTGAACATAAAACATCGACGGATGCCGGCGCGCTGCTCAGCAGCAAAGAGGTCCGCCACCTCTTCAGCTTGGCCGAGGTCCATGGGTTCTGGACCGCTCGAACTGCTCAAAGAACCCGCGCTGCCAGCGCTCCCACCAAGTCTCGCAGACTTAAAGTTATGTTCAGCATTCAATGCTACGTCCACGGTCTTTTCAAAAGAGGTCGGATAAACACGGAACACTTCTGTTCGGGCAGCGCCCGCGCGCAGGCCTTCCATGAAGACGGTCACCGTGACCACCTCCGGAAGAGGGTCTGACGCCATTCCGGCGACGAGAGTTCTCTCCTGGACATAGTCCAACAAGTCCTATTTACCCTGGCGGGTGGCAAGGAACGTTGACCGTACACGGTACGTCTGGTTAGGCGGCGCGAATACGCGCAGTAATTGCTGTTTCAGCTGATTCCAAGTGGAAATGTAGCGTCCACAGACGTCCCGCACGTCAGTGCCCATTCTCTAGCTCTACCACCGAGCTTCGAGATCGCAAGCGCTACGCGCTGCTGCTCCTCCTTGAGCAAGGCTGACCCCATGGCCATCTTGACCTCACGGGTCCAAAGGAGATGGTTCTCCCCTTCCTTCCCTTCGAAGATTTTAACGCTCAACATGAGCGGTTTCGGTCTATCCGACCTTCCGTACGTCAACGATGCTGCCGCGACCGGCGCAGCAGACGACACAGCGTTCACACGCTCTTGAACATGCTCTAAGAGCGCTTTCTCATAACTTGCAAAAGCCTCCAGTGTGGCGGACACCGCCTCTGGGCCTTGCGTCGCAAGGTGGGTGATGCCCTCCGGGCCAAGCAGAGACATAAGCTTTTTAAGCGTCTCTTGCTTGTCTGGTGGCAGACTAGTGAACACGGCGTGTTCCATCCTCTCAGAGGGATCAGTCACAAGACTCAGGCGCAGGATTGACTTGACTACAAGTGCTACCAAGTGCAGCGAGGCTGCGGTAGCTTAGCGTCAGAGAAAGACGTACGACCCAGAGAGTCACTAGCTAAGATAAGACCTTTACAAGGATTAGTAGGGCCTACACTAAATGCCACTTCTAATAACAACCTTAGTAAAAGGACTTACTACTTTAGTTACCAAAACTGAACCGAATTGATTTCCTTATTTGTCCTAGACCTAAATGTAACGGATTTAGTATCTAGCATACCAAATCCTAATCAAAATGCAACGTGTGGCTCTGAGGCCATCTACGTATCTACTCGTGTGTGCCACACCCTTATGTACCTACATAAATGTATTCATGTGTGTCACACACCAACGGGAAACATTTGTGTAACATCCCCGTTACACTCGTCGTGCTCGATATGATCTTCGTTATCTTCATTATCAAAGACATCATAACTTGCATATGATCCACCTGCAACCGATTCGGTTTCTTCCTTGGCGCTTGACTCATCTTGCAATGACATCAATCTTTGCGTCGTCACGCTTAACGACTGGGATGCATTTTGCTGTTCATCACTGTCCTTCTGCCCTGTAAACTCCGGAATCTCTGTGCCATCGTTCTCGTTTGTTCGCCTCGAAATGCTCCCAATATCATGTTCACTCGTTTTACTTGAGTGTACTGTTATCTTTTGGCCTACTTCTGTGTTCTCGACACTAGTAGCAACAGGATGTTCCACTTCTGTGTCCTCGACACTAGTAGTAACAGGTTGTTCCAATACTGTGTCCTCGACACTAGTACCAACAGGTTGGTCCACTTCTGTGTCCTTGACACTAGCAGCAACATTTCCCACAGCAGACATTTGCCTGCGTTCACAGCTGTAACGGGGTTACACGAAACTCTAACCGAAACGTTAACCGGTTAGAGTTAGAGGTTTCCAGTCTTGGTGTGTGAACACACCAAGACTGCATTTGAAGGGATCCTATTGGTAGAGTGCGCCACACCTCTACCAATCAGCGATGCGAATCACTGTCAGCCACTCGCTGACAGTCCCTTAGATATTGGATAATCAGTTTAGGAAGGAAACTCTTTAAACAAACAATACAGTTCTCATTTTACGCTATCTTGTCCCTATCTTGTCTTACTGTACACACGCATCGTGTGTACACTATACAACCTAGGAATACCTACGCTTCCTCCTACACGTGCGCACACGTGTAAGCTAACTAGTGAGCCCTAGGCCCACTACACTTGGTAGCACTTTGTAGTCCGTCCAACGACCGACTATCTTGTTCGTATGAGTTACGAACACGGACAAGAGAATCTTCCTATGGACGGGTCGTCGACCCGTCCATCGGAAGCCCGAGCACGTCTGTTACGCATGTGGCGCGTACAGA